TTGCAATGCTAGCTTTTGGTCAATTTATTCAAGGTTATTGTGGATTGGTTGCAGTTACAACGTGCTCCCAGGCAACTGTTGCCTTGAACACTTTAAGCAGAGTAAAGGCTGTTTTGATGTAGTGCTAAGCGATGTTCAATGCCTGATATGGATGGCTATAAACTCCTTGAACATGTTGGACTTGAAATGGATTCTGTTATCAGTAAGTATTATTTTTGTTGCTTTAATAGAATCTTATTTTGCTTCTTAAATTGACATTAAGTTAATGTTGCTTCAGTGATGTCTGCTGATGGAAGATACTCTTCTTTGAGGGGAATCAGACATGGGGCTGTGATTACTTGATTAAGCTATACGTGAGGAAGAGCTAAAAATTATGGCAGCAGTTGTCCGGAAAAAGTGGAATGAAAATAAAGACATTGAACATTCAGGAGGCAGCTTTGATGAGAATGATCGCCAAAAAAGAGCAAGTGATGAAGTTGAATACGCTTCTTCTGTTGATGAAGGAACTGAAGGAACATTGAAAGTCAGAAGAAGGAAGCATTGGTAAAGAAGAAGATGACGGTGAACTTGAAAACGATGATCCTCCACGCAAAGAAACCTCGGTGAGTGTGGTCAGTGGAAACATCAGCAGTTTGTTGGTCAGTAAATCAGCTTGGGATTGATAGTACGATACTGAAATCTTTTTTAGGTTTTCTTCAATTGATGCATTATATGTTTGGTCAAATAGGGAAGATGCTATACATTTCTTGTTCATCTCTGAAATAATTTTTGAATGTTCCTTGCTTCTATACCATTGCTGATTAAAAGCATTGCTGCTAGACAGAGGCTGTACCAAAGAGAATTCTTGAATTGATGAATGTACCTGGCTTAACTAGAGAAAATGTTGCAAGCCATTTGCAGGTTTGATTCTTACATTCAAATCAAATTTTAACCATTGCATATCTTATTCTTTTATTTAATCTCTCTTATCCTCATTAAAGAAGATGAACAGTATATATTGTAGTACATAAATTGAAAGGAAGAGGAGATGCTTTTCTTGAGTAGAAGCTTAAAATAAATCGATTAACTGAAGAAGCAAGGCATTCAGTTTTAAAGGAAAATGAGAGTTGTAAAGAAGGTCATTGCTACCAATTTTGTAAAACTGATATTGCCTTAAATTAATTTATTTAGCAAAAAACTACGTCATATTTTTGTGACATTTCTCTCTTTTTGGAGCTTAAATGTTATAGCTTGATCACATGTAATTACGACTTGCATACCCCAGGTGACAAGGAATCTAGAATTAAGTTCTAGTAGTAATTTTAGGAAGTTATCGCTTGAGAATTAAATATTTTGAACTTGTGTTGGCGGATTGTTTTTGTCCAAAGTGAGCTTCTTATTTGGGTAGAAGTAGATTCTTAACTCGACTCTACCACCCGTCTCGTTTGTTCCACTTAATCCCTATTTCATGGCCACATATCTTTCGGTAAGATGGCAAACCTTTTCCTTTACATGCATCTAGTTTTCGTTCATCGGGAAAAGCCATCTTTTCTCAACAATGTCTTTGTCATTTGATCCAATAGCATTCCGTTGGAACAGATTTGATAAATACTGATAACTCTCGGATGAAGTATTAGAATGGAAAAATCCATTAGATAATGAACGACTTAAAGTTCTTTTTTAGTCCAATTATCAATTAGAAGATTTAGTTTGTATGAATCACTATTGGTTTAATACCAATAATGGTACATTTCAATATGATAAGGATACATATGTACCCATGATTGAAAATCGTTAATACTATTTAAGACTGGCTGCCATATAAATAGGACACTGTTTTCAGTTTTAGATAGAAGACTTTGACTAATTATTGATTAGTGAATGTTGATTTTATCACCAGTCTTTGTATTGGTACATGTGATTAATGATATACTGATAGGTGTATAGAAAATAATGATTGATGGGCTGAATTGCCATTCTATAATTTCTGTCACCTGACAACCAATTGACATGTCATACTATGGATGAAAGTTGTATTTCTACTTTTGTATTTTGTTACTTACATGTAATTTCAGTAGTTGACTTAATAGGATAATACATTGCAGAAATTCAGACTATATTTGAAGAGATTAAGTGGAGTGGCTCAACAAGGAGGAATTTCTAGTACTTTTCTGGGCCGTGAACCGAATGTGAAACTTGGTTCACTTGGACGATTTGACATCCAAGCTTTGGCTGCCTCTGGACAAATTCCTCCACAAACATTAGCAGCCCTGCATGCTGAACTTTTAGGTCATCCAACAGGGAACTTAGTTACCGGATGACCAGCCAGCTCTTCTACAGCATCTCTACAAGGGTCCAAGTGTATTCCAGCTGAACAATGGTGTGACTTTTGGTCAGCCATTAATAAAATGCCATCAACATTTCAAAAAATTTCCCCAATCCATGATATCGTTTGATGATGTACCTAGGGTTTGGAGTGTGGTCACCTAATAACCTTGGTGCAGGTACACTGACATCTGGTAGCACTCTGGTGGAATGAATCCCCAAAACAGTAATATGCTGATTGATATGCTGCACCAGCAGCAGCAACAATGTCAACAGCAACATGCTACTCTATCTGGACCCAGGTTCAATTAATGTGCAACTTCTTGTCTTGTGGTCCCATCTCGGTCATCAGCCAGTTTTCAGGCAGGAAATGTTGCTTCTGTCAATCAGAATTGCAGCTATATAGAAGTCGTGTTATTGATTATAGTCTTCTTCAAGTCCAAATAACTCAGTTAATATTGGGCAAATCTCTGACTGTGATTTAAAAAACTACAGGTGTTCTTAGTGGTTACTCAGCTCCAGGTTCAATTCTCTTCTGCATCGTCTTGCTCGGTAAATGCTGATAACGGCACAAATCAGCAAGTTCATATTCAATCACTTAGAGCTGCCAGACAAGTGCCAGGACTTGTTCCTAAGTTCAGACATCCAAATTCTAATGGTGTTAAATCAGGTGAAGTGTTGATCAAGGACCATAAGAAATCTAGGATTCATTGGTAAAGGCACATTCATTCCAAGTCGCCTGGCAATTGAGAACTTGAATCACCAATGAACAACTTGAACCATGGAAAAATCTATTTGGATAATAATAGTAACAGAGTGAAGGAGGAGCCAAATATGGAATTTGTGGATAATGCGAAATTGGCGTCCCATTGTACCTCAATATACCCCAAATGATTCATGAGGTTTACAAGATTAGGTAATATTTTTCTTGGGTTCTTACTTCAATTTCTTTAACTACATATGCAGTTTATGGGAGAACAACTTGGAGATTGGTGAATGTTTAGGTGTCACCTGTGGTGAGCTCAATTTTGCTTACTTTGTGTATATAAGCTGGGAAATTAGCTCTGGAGTGGCTGAACATTATTTGATCTAGTGCCACTGTTTTCATTTTGCCCATGGTGTTCATTAATTAATAAATAAGTTTTAAGTGTAATGATGCAAGAAACTGGAAATGATGTCTATGGTCACAGTGTGTGGGGAAGTTGGGTAAATTGTATATAGTCGTGCTGTTGGGAAGTTGACTAATGCAAAGATGGTAATGGTTGGGTGATCTTCCTTTCTGTTGTGTGCATCTTACAGAACTTAAAGGAAAATATATGTACCAGACTAAAAATTTTGGTCAATCTAAATAATCTTTTGGTACCAGCATAGGTTATTTTCAACTGTTGAATTAAAGTTAGAGCACTTAACGGTAAAGTATCTGACACAGTTACTGGGGTTTGACAAATTGTCACTAGCATTTATTGCTGGTGAAGCTTAGTGGTTGGCAGGTGGTGACCCGTATTCGAGTTTCTTATGGTTATTGGTTACCACCTACTAGTATTTAATTTCATTCAATATCTCCAATTTTGAACAAAGCCGTATTGAAACAACCATAGCTAAATTATTGTTTGTTTTTCACTGTTCTTTGTTAAGTGTTTAATTCTAATTTTGATGACGACTGACAGGCTTGTGATGTGTGGGTGAGCGGATTGAAGGAAGACGAAGGTTGAAGTCTGTATTGTTTTTTAAAGGTAGATCAAATTCCTAGTGCGTGCACCAAACTCAGGTGCAGTGCAGTGGGAGTGTATAGCCTCTCAGCCAAATTACATCTGCAACTCATTTGTATATTCTATGGAGTGCTGGGAATGGCTCTGGTTCTATTGCTATACAGCATCCAGTAAAGTCTAAGTAGTGTAGTCACTGTAGTATTATTATTAGTATCTACTATCTAGGTAAAATAAGTAATGACAGACTCTCAACTTAGCTTGATTTGATCCATTCAAATTGGGGCTTCTCGCCTCGTTAACTATAAGTAGTTGTTTGTGTCTAATACTATGGAGTGCTCATTTATTCTTCATCTCTCCAAACTATCGGAATTCATCCTTATACATGTTTGTATTTCTGCTAATACTGTGATTGTTGAATGTTTCGTTGAGAGCATATCACCGCAAGAAATAAAAGCCTGGAATTATGGAAAGACAGTGACAGTTATTACAAGTGGATGCAGATTAAGAAAACGACGAGTGATAATTATGATACATTTATAGATAACATTATCCTAACATATAATGTGAATCAATGGAGATCAAGCTACCAAGTCATTCAAGCTGATAACAAATGAACAGAATAACTATACATTTTAGTAATTATAACTACCAAGAGAGTGACAGTGAATACAAATTGCAATCGGATGTCATTTGAGTGAAGCCAATCATCAAGTTGGGTTTCCAGGAAAGTTGGTTTTTGCTTTCAGTTCTTTGTTATTGAGTAACAACAGCTACCACAAACTAGTTCTCAATCCACTAGCTTCAACTCCGTTTGTCCTTTAACTATCATGTGCATTTCTTCCTTTTCGTCAACGCAACTCTTTTATTATTATTATTATTATTGTTATTATTACTTCCTACTCTCTCTTTCACTTTTCACACTTTCTTCTCTCTCTCTCTCTCTCTATACTTTCAAACACAGAAACTCAGAAAGTACTAACCTTTTTTACTCAATTTTAAATATACTTCTCTAAAACGAGCTAAATATGGAGACATGCAAAGAACTTGCTCTGACCCAGATGAGAAAATCACTTGACAACCTTGCTTCTTCTCCCGAGGTAATTGTTTGTGATTGTTCTGTACAATGCATGTGTCTTTGTTTAGTTAAGATGTTGAACTTTTCTGTCTTTAATGGGTTGGTTTGTGTTGTAGAAATATGTAGATGAAACGTTGATGAGGTTCTTGATTGCAAGGTCAATGGACCCGGAAAAGGCGGCAAAGATGTTTGTTCAGTGGCAAAAATGGAGGGCTGCTTTCGTTCCAAATGGGTTCATTTCTGAATCCGAAGTTCCGGATGAATTGGAGGCAAGGAAGATTTTTTTGCAGGAATTGTCTAAAGATCGATATCCAGTGTTGATTTGCAAAGCTAGCAGGCATTTTCCTGCTAAGGATCCTGTTCAGTTTAAGAGTAATGGATCAGATGACTTATTATCTTAATTTCTTTTTACTTTTGTTTATGGGTTGCTCATTTTATTAGATTCTGACTTGATTACTAGAATTATGCCTTTTGCTCTAGATTGTACACTAGTACACCAATATGGGCCATATATTGAATTTTTTATGAACTAGAAGTTCCAACATAAAGGTTTATGTGAGTTGGATAGTTTGGACTTTATCATTTTTGTTGGAGTCCTAGACTCATGGGGTCATAAAACATGTTTTCTTTTGTTTATTATTTTCTTTTTGCTTTTGGGGCTTCATCGTTGGCCAATTTTCATATGGAGCTGTTTGTTTATTTTGAGCTTTAGGAATATGCCGCGGCCGCCCAGATGCTATAATTTTGTGAATGTCACAATCATCAAAGTCATCTGTGCCTTATTTTTTTTTTATGGATAGGGCTCTAATTTTTAATGAATAAGGAGAGGTTAGAATATGGAATCCATTTATATAAATGAGGAGTTCGGTAAGTGACAAAAAAAGTTTCTATCTTGTAGTTAGGAAGCAGTTGAGGGAGATTTATATTGAGTATGCCAATAATTTATGGAATTGTGGGCCTGTTTATTGATCTTTATGCATTGGGCAATGGGCATTGTCAACTATTCTTGTAGTTGGCATGTATAGCCTTTTTCTTTTATAATTATTCTGGCATTTTGTTTATCTGAGAGCAGTGCTGTTTCTTACAAACTGTGATAAAGTAAATCTGAAATAGATATTGTATATCCCAGTAAAGTTGTTCCAACATTTGTCCTCATATTCCATTGCTGTTAGCAGTTTCAGTTGCTGATTTTTGCAGTGTATAAATCAATTTTCCTTCCTCAAAATAATTCCTAATCCCCTTTGATCAATAACTTTGTTTTTGTAGAAGAGAATGGAGATATCTCTGTTCTTCTTCAATCTATAATTTTCCCGAATTCTGATTCTGCATTTTTCATGCACAACAGCCTATCTGTAATTTAACCATTAAGTACTGACTGCTGAGTTATCTAATCCTCCCTTAAGCAATGCAGACAAAGTAAACCACTGATTTTTGTATTTCTCGCTTGGAATAGCTTGTCTGTTGTGTCAATGTGTTTTTGTAAAATATAAACCTTAAAAATGCAACAAATTAGATAAAAGTAGAAGTGGTTTCATAAGTGTTTTCCCATGCTGTTGTCAAGTGGTGGCCAACAATTTAATGGTTGATTAAATCCAAAACTAATCCACATGCTAAAGGATTTTCTATTTACTTTCTTAAATATATATTGAACATATCAAGTGTAGGTTAGATTGGTGTTTTTGTGAGTTCATGAAATGTTCAATATTTTTCAACTGAAGTGAGAATTAGGAAATTTATCCCCAAGATTTAGCCTAATAAAAAAAATCCTCATCAATAAATTCATGGTTTGTTTAACCCAAATATGCCTAAATTATGCTGCATTGTGCGTTGCTCAGTTGAGAATTGGCTTACCAAAGGACATGACAATGTTATAATAATATGACCTGCCCCTATTTATTATCATAACAACTGCTAGCTTATGTATTTGATTCATTTCGGTTGTCTCTTGGTGCAGAATTCGTGGTCCACCTGCTGGACAAAACGATTGTAAGGTATCAGTTAATATCAGTGAATTCTAATTTTTCCATTAATTCCAACGGTTAACTTATGAGGCCATTTTCAGGCATGGATCAACAATAGAACATCTAGGATGCATTTGGCATGTAAAATAAGGGTGGATAGGAATCCTATTGTGTTTCAGGGTGTCATTGGATGTGATATAAAGGTGACATGAGCAAATATATAATGATCTAAAGTTGGATCAGAAATTCCATTTTGTATATGTCATTTGAGTGTTAATATTGAATCTTAGTATTCTAATTTATCAAGAAATCCTATGCCCTTGTCACAGCCAATTAAACACAGGGCTCCCTTGTGTCTATGCTCAATTTTTTTTTTTTGTAAATGAGCTAATCTACAGATAGTAATTCCCCACAGTTGTCTTACGTAGTTTATATTTTCTTATAATTTGCTAGTTTTCATCTGCTTACTCTTTTTGTGTAGTTTTTATTCTTTTCAATAAGGAATTTAGAATAATATTTGTGTTTCTATTTCAGCTCCTTCAGAGGAAGAGAAATTGGAAATGAAAAGTTAATTGCCATTCTTGATCTGCAACAAATTTCATACAAGAACGTTGATGCACGTGGATTGATCACTGGGTTTCAATTTTTGCAGGTAATAGTGTAATACGTTATTTTTTCTCTCATTACAAGAAATTAGCCAGTGTGGCATATGAGAAAGATAACCATTTTAGTGCATAATGGAAAAAATAGGTAATGTGGACAATAGTTTTATAGATCATTTGCAATTTCTCCTGAGGCTTTGTTTTTGGAATTTTGATGTGGTGACATATTGGTGGTTGAGAAAATTCAGTGCTATTCATGAGCCAATACATACCAAAATTTGTCTGCGTTACAGTTTCTTTTAAGTGATACCTTGTAGAAGCTCAAGCAAAACATCATATCTCTAGAAGTTGTTCAACTTGCATTCGTGTTGCAAATATCAGGCATGGTAGATATCCTAGTTGTCATCTTGCATTGGCTTATCAAACTTGGAGGCTTGACTGTGAAGCAAATCCTAGCTTTGCAGCAAATTTTGGCTTGCTGCCATGGTGGTTTTCAACTTCAAGAGCCTTCTTTGCCCCTCATTAAATGCAGATTAGATGTTAACCTATCTGATCCAATCTGGGTCTTCATATTTTAGTATTTCATTTCTTATTTTTCCTTCTTTGAAAGACATATTTCTCCCTGGTGTAATTTTCGTATTTACATAAAATAAGACTCTTCTTATCAAAGGAATTTGTTTTAGTTGTAAAGGTCTCATGCAAACGTAAATAAGTTTCAATTAAGTTGTTGTGGTCAAAGGGATAACTATAAATCTCTTATGAGTTATCATTCACTTTTCCTCAGAATTCTTCCCAAGTATACAGTCCACAGAGTTCTTCCCAAGTATACAGTCCACTTGCTAGGAACTTGGTGTACACTGTTAATCCAAATTTGTGCCGGCTAGAACTTGATGCCACATAATACTATAATTTAACCCAGATAGAGATTAGCTAACTTCTTGTTTAATGGAACAAAATCCTCGGTCTCATGAGAAAACAGCAACTATGGAAAAATTATAGGTTACAGTGCATGTTGTTTACATCTATGGAGGTGAAAGAATTTGCTTTTTTTTTTTCTTCACAACATAGATTTATCAAGCTATTCTGAGCTCTCTACCTATCTATTTAAATAAATGCTCCAGATGATATTTGTTAAACCAAATCCTTTCCGAGCTAAATATCCATTGAAACTTCTTATTATCCTCTTTTTCTTTTCTGTTCTTTTTGCCATGCTAACTATTCATGTCGGAAACATTCCAAGTGGAAATTAATCATAATTTTAGTGTAGTTAGAGATATAGGCATAATATCTTGTCATCCAATTCAAGACAATATTAAGTCATTTGGGAAGAAAAGCTTCTTAAAGACCTCTTGATCCTTGAATGTTAGCAACTGTTGTTAGAGCTTATATATATATTAACTGATTGTAGTTTTCATCAATATTTATGTTGTCTGAGCTTCCTCATCCATGCAGGCTTACTACCCTGAACGCTTAGTGAAACTATACATCTTACATATGCCACAATTCTTTGTCAGTGTTTGGAGGATGGTTTCCCGCTTTCTAGAAAAGGCAACACTGGAGAAGGTACGTCTCACAATTCGACTTAGCTAGTCAGTATTCCTGAACTCTTTATCTGTTTATAGAATTACATTTTGATTTGAGTCTGCGGAACTGTGTCCTTGAACTGAAGCTTGTTTCGGATGATTAATGCAGGTTGTGATTGTGACAAACGAAGAAGAACAAAAGGACTTTGTGAAAGAAATCGGTGAAGAAGTTTTGCCAGAAGAATATGGCGGACAAGCAAAGTTTGTTGCTCTCCAAGACGTTACCGTACCGCCATTGGATGATGAATCCCTCAAAATGGAGTAAGACAGGTCTCTAGTTTCATCTCCTATAAATGTTAAATGTATAAATAATACTGACTCAAGCACTAGGAATCCAGTTCAACATATAGCAGCGTCTTAGAATTTGTTTGAGTAAATTACAAGCAAAGAAGAAATAAATGACGAAGATAATGACTAGCTATATCCTGCAATGTGTTGAAAATGAGTTGCTCAAATACTTAAATCAATAAAAATGTACTTCAGAGAGTTTAATCATATCATCTTACTCTGAATTTAGATAACAATTTATTTGATTGACTTGTGACAATGGTACCCATGGTTCAATTTAAACTATAAAAGAAGACCATTTTTTAGACAAAAAATCTTCAACTAGACGAGTATTATATAGTATATAGTATATGGAAAATAATATAGTTATCGAAGAATGCACACTGAATGACGTGACGCTATCTTGACCGTCGATTAATTATGAATTTTTTTTTTTAAGAAAACAGGATGACGTTATGTTATTCGGTGCATAAATTCGGTGCGTATTCTTCAATAACTGTAGTATTGCTTAGTATATACATGCCCATCAGGTAGGAAAGATTTAATCCACCCTGACGTTTTGGTCGAATAGGGTCAAGATCTTGACCTTTCATATACTAGGAAACAAAACCTTTCAAACTAATAACTGTTAATTAATTCTTAACTTCCAAACAATATTTTTTTTGATGTTGAGACTAGTGAATTTTTTGTTCCATGTGTTAACGTCATTTGGGGCTTCATCGTTGGCCAATTTTCATATGGAGCTGTTTGTTTATTTTGAGCTTAGGAATATGCCGCGGCCGCCCAGATGCTATAATTTTGTGAATGTCACAATCATCAAAGTCATCTGTGCCTTATTTTTTTTTTATGGATAGGGCTCTAATTTTTAATGAATAAGGAGAGGTTAGAAATAGGAATCATATATAAATGAGGAGTTCGGTAAGTGACAAAAAAAGTTTCTATCTGTAGTTAGGAAGCAGTTGAGGGAGATTATATTGAGTATGCCAATAATTTATGGAATGGGGGCTGTTTATTGATCTTATGCATTGGGCAAGGGCATTGTCAACTATTCTTGGTTTGGCATGTAAGCCTTTTTCTTAATAATTCTGGCATTTTGTTTATCTGAGAGCAGTGCTGTTTCTTACAAACTGTGATAAAGTAAATCTGAAAAGATATTGTATATCCCAGTAAAGTGTGTCCAACATTTGTCCTCATATTCCATTGCTGTTAGCAGTTTCAGTTGCTGATTTTTGCAGTGTATAAATCAATTTTCCCTCCTCAAAATAATTCCTAATCCCCTTGATCAATAACTTTGTTTTTTAAGAAGAGAATGGGATATCTCTGTTCTTCTTCAATCTATAATTTTCCCGAATTCTGATTCTGCGTTTTTCATGCACAACAGCCTATCTGTAATTGAACCATAAGTACTGACTGCTGAGTATCTAATCCCTCCTTAAGCAATGCAGACAAAGTAAACCCATGATTTTGTATTTCTCGCTTGGAATAGCTTGTTGTTGTGTCAATGTGTTTTTGTAAAATATAAACTTAAAAATGCAACAAATTAGATAAAGTAGAAGTGGTTTTATAAGTTTTTTCCCATGTTGTTGTCAAGTGGTGGCCAACAATTTAATGTTTATAAATCCAAAACTAATCCACAGCTAAAGGATTTTCTATTACTTTCTAAATAATATGAACAATCAAGTGTAGGTTAGATTGGTGTTTTGTGAGTTCATGAAATATTCAATATTTTTCAACTGAAGTGAGAATTAGGAAATGTATCCCCAAGATTTAGCCCAATAAAAAAAATCCTCATCAATAAATTCATGGTTTGTTTAACCCAAATGTGCCTAAATTATGCTGCATTCTGCATTGCTCAGTTGAGAATTGGCTTACAAAAGGACATGACAATGTTATAATAAATTGACCGCCCCTATTTATTATCATAACAACTGCTAGCTTATGTATTTGATTCATTCGGTTGTCTCTTGGTGCAGAATTCGTGTCTCACCTGCTGGACAAAACGATTGTAAGGTATCAGTTATATCAGTGAATTCTAATTTTCCATTATTCCAACGGTTAACTTATGAGGCCATTTTCAGGCATGGATCAACAATAGAACATCTAGGATGCATTTGGCATGTAAAATAAGGGTGGATAGGAATCCTATTGTGTTTCAGGGTGTCTTGGATGTGATTAAAAGGACATGAGCAAATATAAATGATCTAAAGTGGATCAGAAAATCCATTTTGTATAGTCATTTGAGTGTTATATTGAATCGTAGTATTCTAATTTATCAAGAAATCCTATGCCCTTGTCACAGCCATAAAACTCAGGGCTCCCTTGTTGTGTCTATGCTCAAATTTTTTTTGTAAATAAGCTAATCTACAGATAGTAATTCCCACAGTTGTCTTACGTAGTTTATATTTTTATTAATTTGCTAGTTTTCATCTGCTTACTCTTTTTGTGTAGTTTTTATTCTTTTCAATAAGGAATTTAGAATATATTGTGTTTCTATTTCAGCTCCTTCAGAGGAAGAGAAATTGGAAATGAAAAGTTAATTGCCATTCTTGATCTGCAACAAATTCATACAAGAACGTTGATGCACGGGATTGATCACTGGGTTTCAATTTTGCAGGTAATAGTGTAATACGTTATTTTTTCTCTATTACAGAAATCAATTTTGCTTTACTTTGTGTATATAAGCTGGGAAATTAGCTCTTGGAGTGGCTGAACATTTTTATTTTGATCTAGCTGCCACTGTTTTCATTTTGCCCATGGTGTGTTCATTAATTAAATAAATAAGTTTTAAGTGTAATGATGCAAGAAACTGGAAATTGTCTATGGTCACAGTGTGGGGAAGTTGGGTAAATTGTATATAGTCGTGCTGTTGGGAAGTTGGGTAAATTGTATATAGTCGTGCTGTTGGGAAGTTGACTAATGCAAAGATGGTAATGGTTGCGGGTGATTCTTCCTTCCTGTTGTGTGCATCTGACAGAACTTAAAGAAAATATAATGTACCAGACTAAAAATTTTGGTCAATCTAAATAATCTTTTGGTACCAGCATAGGTTATTTTCTAACTGTTTGATATTTAAAGTAACAGCACTTAACAGGTAAAGTATCTACTACAGTTAACTGAGGGTTTGACAAATTGTCACTAGCATTTATTGCTGGTGAAGCTTAGTGGTTGGCAGGTGGTGACCCGTATCTCGAGTTTCTTATGGTTATTGGTTACCCACCTACTAGTATTTAATTTCATTCAATATCTCCAATTTTGACCAAAGCCCGTATTTGAAACAACCATAGCTAAATTATTGTTTTTGTTTTCACTGTTCTTTGTTTAAGTGTTTAATTCTAATTTTGATTGACGACTGACAGGCTTGTGATGTGTGGGTGAGCGGATTTGAAGGAAGACGAAGGTTGAAGTCTGTATTGTTTTTTTAAAGGTAGATCAAATTCCTAGTGCGTGCACCAAACTCAGGTGCAGTGCAGTGGGAGTGTATAGCCTCTCAGCATAATTACATCTGCAACTCATTTGTATATTCTATGGAGTGCTGGGAATGGCTCTGGTTCTATTGCTATACAGCAGCATCCAGTAAAGTCTAAGTAGTGTAGTCACGGTAGTATTATTAGTATCTACTATCTAGGTAAAATAAGTAATGACAGACTCTCAACTTAGCTTGATTTGATCCATTCAAATTGGGGCGTCTCGCCTCGTTAACTATAAGTAGTTGTTTGTGTCTAATACTATGGAGTGCTCATTTATTCTTCATCTCTCCAAACTATCGGAATTTCTCTCCCCTTCATCCCTAATACATGTTTGTGTTTCTGCTAATACTGTGATTGTCGAATGCTTTGGTGAGAGCATATCAACCCAAGAAATAAAAGCCTGGAATTATGGAAAGACAGTGACAGTTATTACAAGTGGATGCAGATTAAGAAAACGACGAGTGATAATTATGATACATTTATAGATAACATTATCCTAACATATAATGTGAATCAATGGAGATCAAGCTACCAAGTCATTCAAGCTGATAACAAACGAACAGAATAACTATACATTTTAGTAATTATAAGTACCAAGAGAGTGACAGTGAATACAAATTGCAATCGGATGTCATTTGACTATTTGAGTGAAGCCAATCATCAAGTTGGTTTCCAGGAAAGTTGGTTTTTGCTTTCAGTTCTTTGTTATTGAGTAACAGCAGCTACCACAAACTAGTTCTCAATCCACTAGCTTCAACTCCGTTTGTCCTTTAACTATCATGTGCATTTCTTCCTTTTTGTCAACGCAACTCTTTTATTATTATTATTATTATTGTTATTATTACTTCCTACTCTCTCTTTCACTTTTCACACTTTCTTCTCTCTCTCTCTCTCTCTATACTTTCAAACACAGAAACTCAGAAAGTACTAACCTTTTTTACTCAATTTTAAATATACTTCTCTAAAACGAGCTAAATATGGAGACATGCAAAGAACTTGCTCTGACCCAGATGAGAAAATCACTTGACAACCTTGCTTCTTCTCCCGAGGTAATTGTTTGTGATTGTTCTGTACAATGCATGTGTCTTTGTTTAGTTAAGATGTTGAACTTTTCTGTCTTTAATGGGTTGGTTTGTGTTGTAGAAATATGTAGATGAAACGTTGATGAGGTTCTTGATTGCAAGGTCAATGGACCCGGAAAAGGCGGCAAAGATGTTTGTTCAGTGGCAAAAATGGAGGGCTGCTTTGGTTCCAAATGGGTTCATTTCTGAATCCGAAGTTCCGGATGAATTGGAGGCAAGGAAGATTTTTTTGCAGGAATTGTCTAAAGATCGATATCCAGTGTTGATTTGCAAAGCTAGCAAGCATTTTCCTGCTAAGGATCCTGTTCAGTTTAAGAGTAATGGATCAGATGACTTATTATCTTAATTTCTTTTTACTTTTGTTTATGGGTTGCTCATTTTATTAGATTCTGACTTGATTACTAGAATTATGCCTTTTGCTCTAGATTGTACACTAGTACACCAATATGGGCCATATATTGAATTTTTTATGAACTAGAAGTTCCAACATAAAGGTTTATGTGAGTTGGATAGTTTGGACTTTATC